CCAACCAATCCGAGGCTGGGGTGCATTCTGTAAAAAATAAAATAAAATACAACTAAATGCTGAAGCTTGGGGCTATGGGGGTTCACACCATAGAGAGTCATGCATTGTGAGAAGCACAAACCCACTGCTAAGAGCCAACCACAGAGGCCAGAAAATTCACAATAAATGCTACGCCTGATGGTAATACAGCATGATCCCCCAAACATCCCTGTCATTAATAGTTTGGTTCAAGGTGGCATTAAAAAGTTCTAAAAAGTTTGACTTGCTGAAACCTGCAGATACTCTGGTCAACCTAAACAGCATATCATTTAGGGAAGCAATAGAGAGGCTCATGAAATCTCTGATCCACAGTGAGGAAAGGCTGTTGACAGGACAACTACTCATTATGAATTCCCCAACATTGATCAGTACATTAGATGTTAATTTACCTGATGATTCTGATGATAGAACTGAACTAAATGTAATGTTTCTTGCTTGTTTCAGAATCAGTTTGTGTATTTTGTTAATAGCGTCGATAGTTTCTTTGTCTCAACTGCCTTGCTGCTGAAACAAAGAATCTCGACTTGAACACGTTTAACAGGTGTCAGTCCCATTAGGCTGCACTGTACTCGTTCTCCACTCCAGTTTAAAGACATCCAGACGTTATTGTGTCTTTACATCCGCAGCAGTCTGTGCCATGACGTCTCCCCCGTCTCACATTCTGGCCCTCTCTCTGGGAGTGTCCCTCAGCCTGGAATAACAGCGAGCGCTGGGGAAGCAGGAGCGGCTCAGGGAGCGGTGCTGTTTTAAAGGCCCGGGGCAGGGCCTCCTGCGGCCGTCTCGTTTGTCTTGGCTCAACATTCCCAGCCCCTCCGTGCGCCCCTGTGGTCGGCCGGTTGGTCTGGGGCAGACTGTCATCTCCCCCCACCCAGACAAAGGCATCTAGCTCCAGTCTGTCGATGAGCAGCGGCTCCGAGCTGTTTATGCAAAGTGTGACAAGCCGGCCAACGATCGACAGCTGCATTTCCTTTACATATGTGCGCATAACTGTGTTGAATGTTTTAACAAATTTGGAGTTTCCATTAAATAGTTAAAATCACAAATGAATAAATGTAATGTGATAAGTCTTGAAAAAGTATGCCATGAGTAGGCCTGTCATGATAAATTTTGCTAGACGATAAATTGTCCCAGAAGGTATTGCGATAAACGATAATTTTGTTTTGGGACAATTTTAAAGTAATATGATAGTAANTATATTTACAATNTNAAAGATTAATAAATTTTATTTTCTAATGGACATTTAACACTGGAACTGGAAGACATTTTAAATATCTTCCAGCAGAAACAACAATTAAAATGTCTGTAAAAACAAAATTGTCCTTCAAGAAAGGGCTAGTCCAGACCAAAGCACCAGACTAAAGTCATCCAGTTATCTACCAAAAACTGGACGACACAAGTTTTCTGCCAAACTTGGACAAAAAAAATAAATCATGCAAATAGAAATAATTGAGCTAGTTTTAAGTCATCATGCGATTAATCAGCTTATTGCCTATTGTGACAGGGCTAGCCACGCCATCATCATCCTCCCACTTCCTGTCGTCTTTTCCGCCAGTTTTAACAAACGCTTGTTGATCACGTGACTCGCCTGATGTGAATAGTGTTTCCATTGCAGTTTTGCAAGACACACCAATTTCAATACAGCTGAAAAACCTCCTCATCCTAGCGTAAAAAAAAATCTTTTATCGTAAAAAAACGAGTTTTTTCAAAATTGCCGTGTTCCCATCAAGTTAATTTATTGTCATAATTCCAATTTGCGCAATTTTACGCTCAATGGAAATGCAGCTTCTTTTAGGAAACCAAGCTCTGCAGATTTGGTCAGTCATGTAATTTTTTTGTTTATTTTTTTTTGTACATTTCTTGGTGGCTCTGGGCCAAGAACTGCACACAGCCTCTTTGTTTTGTTTTTTTGGGTTTTTTTCCCCCCAAATGTGCTGAGTCCAAAATCCATTCAAACTTTTGCTCCACAGAACTGACCCAAACTGATAAAATATTTGCTTTACTTCAGGAACCATAATGTAAGCTGTCCAGCCTTGAGGGCCTAAATCAAATTTGACTGCTTTAGGTGTGCTATGTGAACACACGGTCTGCCAATGCAGCGGCAATCTAAACCATCTCTCCCGTTTCATAAGAAGCACCTGTGTTTGGAGACTTAACATTCCACATACTTATCTGACCCTATAAAGGAGTTTTCGTGCAGCACACATGTGCTGAATAAACTGTACGGCACCGTGAAGCTGCACTCTCTCCAGAGGGCTTGTAGCAATATGTCAACCAGCTACCAAGGCGCTTCTACTCTGCAAAGTCAAATTCAGCCAACATGTGTCCAGACTGTGTCGGATCGATTCTGGAACATGTAATCTTCACCTGTAGCCATCTTTTTTTCCCACATAGTTTGCTTGTTGTGACAACTGTAAACGGCGAGCCGCAGGCGACACTGAAAACAAAAACTCCAGACTCTCTTTCCCCTCCTCCGCCCTCCCTTCCTCCCTCCGTTGCTCTGTTAGACAGACAGAAAAGCCACTGCGACACACATGGGACTTGCACTCCAGCCTCTGTGTGACCTGTCAGGGTGATCCAAACAAATATCCGCTCTCTGCCTTAAGAGACCCGCAGTGTCTGCACGCATTCTGTTCTCGACGGGAACTGGTCGCTAAAGACAACATAAATTTAAAGCTTGAATGTGGCCACAGTTGTCGGCTTGCGTGCGACTACTAGGCCTGCTCATTCACGGCGCTTCCAGTCAATGCTTGGACCGTTGACCCTTCGCCTCGGTCGTAACTCGAGCTCCTGAAGGCAGGGTGGAGCTAGCAGGGATGCTCCAGCTAGGTGGTGTCCCTGTTGCAGTGTGAGGGGGGCTGAAAATGTAAGATCTGAATGGATGCGCCGCAGGAGGGCTGTGTCCTCCTGAAAACCTGAAGGGACCTTACAGGGCTCACATCAATCACTCACAGGACGGCATCAACACACTCTTTAGCGTGTTTTATGTCTTCGATGACTTAGTGCCGCCTTTGAGGCGCAACTCCTCCTCGGAGCTGCAGTTTCAAGGCTGATCTTCCACCCTCAACTCCCCCACTCAGCTCCTTCAGACTAGCCAGAATCAATCAGCAAACACCTGATGGAACTGTGCATCTGCTGAGCTCATCATAGGAGCCACTTCTCAGTGCAACACTGGTATAAAACGTTGTTAAAGGGCTAATAGAGGAGCCAAGTTGTGATGAAGTCTTGAAGGTTTCTTAAAGAGACAGCGGCCCAACTTGAAGGTGTTAAATTACGATGCCAAATTTTATTTAAGTCATATTTGATATCCATGTCATTTTTATGACAAGTGATGATAGCGTAGTCTCTAGATCGCTACCATCAAGAATCTAGGCACGTCTGTTCTGTAAAGTTAGAGCAGACTTTGCAGTTTAAACTGTAATTTTCAGTATTGTGCCTGGAAAATGCACAATACTGCCTCTTTAAATCCGCCTTGTTCAACATTTAGAAACTAAAAATATCCAACCGGAGGGAAGAAATTGTAACTCCCTGTGAAGAGGATGAAAATCATTACTTTGTTTTGCTCTATCTGATAACAAGTTTGTGGTCGTAACGTGACAAATGCAGAAAAATGTGAGGCATGTAAATACTGTGTCTAATTGTCACTCCTCCCCACCAGGCCATAAAAGGAAAAAGCGAACCAGAGGAACATGAATCTGGACGACTTCTGTCTGTGTCTGTTTTTTTTTGTTTTGTTTTTTTTTCTTGTCTGTACGATTCACTCCCAGCCTGTCTGCGTTTAGGTCTAGAAACACAGCCACAGGTGTTGGTCACTAATTATACCAGGATATTGTTAGTCCCAGCCTGGCGTATAGCCCTGTGCAGGGATCTAGGCTTGCATGGAGCTCAGTCCCAACTGGGTTGTTTTTAAAATCCTGCGGAACAAGGCCCCTCTGTGGTGCCGCTCACGTCCGTGTGTTTAAACTAGAGAGAAAGACCCTCTCTCCCTCCCTGGGATTTTTTTCTCTCTCTTTCTGAGAAACTGAGGCTTTTTCTTTCTTTCTTTTTCTCCCTTCACATTATTGCCGCTGCAAAGCAGCAGCAGCAGCAGCGGGAACAATGTCCTTCCACTCTGTCTTTCGCTTTTTCACACAGCGCTCGCTGGGACGGGCACATCCACCCCACTCAATCATCCGCACACAAATGCAGACGCGCCCCGCTCCTCAACTCCCCGCCCTGCCCCTTATCCACACTGTGTATAAAAGCTGTATCGAATTGCACCTTGAGCTTAATTGGCTCGGCGGTACAGTGTGCCGCTGTCGAAAGTGACAAATCGGCCTTTCAGAGCCCCAGAGAATGTCTGCCCACTGCCATGTCAGGGGACACGGCGGGCAGGGGGGGGGAGGAAAAAAGTTAATTGTCCTTCGGGCTGCGGCTCAAAAGATGTCGTAACTGTGGATGAATTCGTGGGAGATGCAGTTTGAAGCTTTCGGAGGTTTATTTATTTGCCTCGTTCCTCTACTTCAGACAGAGCCTGGCGGTGCAGAGGCCCGAGGGCGATGGGCAGCATCAGGGAAAGAAAGGGCCTCAGGCTCTGTGTCTCTATCAGAGCAAAGCTTTTCCACAGACTCCTAGCTGCTCCCTTTCGTCTCCCGGCACTCTCACTGAGCGTCCGCTTTAGTTTGACATCTCTGCAGATTAACGCAGACCGTAAGAACTCAGAGAGTTAGAGTCCTACGAAGGGATTCTTTCTTCATAAAGTCTTTACATCTTCCCACGTCAACCTGAAACTTCAGTGTTTTATGAAAGAGGCAGGATTATGTATTTTGTAGCACAAACTTCAGTTGTGATAAAATGCTATCTGTATTAAATATGACTTAAAATAAATTTGAATTTGTAATTTAATGCCTTTAAATCGGGCCTCTGTCTGTCATGTTGGATTTTAGTTTCCTGACCCACATGCAAGTTCACACAAAACCAGAGAACACTGTTCAGTGAAAGTTTAATGTATTTTAAACAGTGCAGTCAAATTGTGCTCCAGAGGATGGGTAGGCAGGTCAGCTCGGGTTCTGTTCAGAGAAGGGAGATGTTAGAAGGGACCGGAGATGAGGGATCTTGATTGGTTTAGAGGAATAAGCTTACTGTCTTTCGGATGGAGGTTGCGCGGAGGGAAAAAGGCTAGAATCCGGGAGCGTCTCTGAGGACCAATGATGGAGAGGGAAGGAGCGCGGCAGGCGGAGATGTTTGGTCTTGGCAGGAAGCGATCTTAAAGTCCAGACGTGGTTCCTGGCTTGATTTTGACAGCTTGTCGTTTTCTGAGGGAAGACACAAAATTACTTTTAGTCTCATAAAACATCCATAACATGATTTCTGGTTAGACTCTGACCAACAAGTGGGACCATCGAGCGATGAGTGACTGCTCCTCTGCTTCTTAAAGGTCCACCACTCAATCACTCGGAATCAGCTGCCGGTGCGCCAGCCTGTCAGAACTCCTCCGAAGATCCTCTATAGGAAAGAGCACTCACACCAACCCGAATCCTAACACTGTCTCTTTAAAAACTCCTGCTCTTTCTGGAGCTCCACCTTCAGGAAGTCATCACCACATTTCTCCTCCATTAACCCTTTAACTACATTTTCACCAGCGTTTCACTGAGAAGTTGCTCATGAGATCAGTAGATTCTACCAGGTGTTTGCTAATTTCTGCTGGCTAGAAATTAGCAAACACCTGGTGTTTACTAATTTGGGGGAGTCTCCTCGAAGGCGTAGCTAGGTGCAACCAGGCGTTTTTCCACAGCCGAATGGTTACCATGGTGATTAAAGTATTTCTGAGACATGCATTAAAAAATCAAGGCAATGCTCCAGGTGTGGTTTTGATGAGGTAATAACATTATAACATGATTTAAAGCTGAAAAAACATTACATAATACTCCCCTTAACGTTTTTGTGTGAAAATCAACACAAAGTGGTACATAATGCAGAGGTGAAGCACTCAAAAGTTGTACTCAAGTGAGAGTAAAACAGTATTGAGTAATAAAAAGTTTACTCAAGCTCTGACTGATTAACACATCAACCATTTCATATTCAAAAGCTACATCATCAGATGGACCAAAATCTAAAGTTATGTGAAAATGTTGACGTTTTAAACTTAAATACTTGGCATAAAATACTGCTTTAGGAAATGAAAATATTTCATATAAATAATTACAAAATGACAAAATCAGGAAAAGAACATTTTTGTCTATTCATTTTCTTTCAATATGAGACGAATGAAACTGTAACAAAAACTGCATAAGCTGTTAAACAAGCTCACGGAGTCACTCCAGAAATTGTACTCAAGTCAGAGTACTGATACTTCATATTAAAATTACTCAAGTAAACCTAAAAAAGACAGTACTCCTAAACATACTTTTGTTTTTTGTTTTTTGCAAAATGTTAAGTGAATGTGGATGAAGGTGCTCTGGTCAAACGACACCAACACTGATCCCTCTGGTCTACATGCAGAAGACATCTGCTTGAAAAATTAATGCTGCGCAAAACTCAGAGTCTAAAAGGACTTGAGACGAGCAGGACAGAAACCATGGAAACCAGTTTAGGTCAGGAGTCTGAGACCTTTGCAATCCTAAGAGCCATGTTTACCTCCAGTCCAGCTGATTGAGACTTGTTTAGAGCCCCAAATGTTAAAGGCTTTAAAAATAAACTTAAATACTTGGCATAAAATACTGCTTTAGGAAATATGTTACTTTTTAAAGATACCCCATTTTATTTGTGTGTTTAGGTTTGAAAATAAAGAAAAATGTTTGCAAAGCAAGGAAAAGACATTGTAGAAAATCAGTTTATTACATGAAAAAAACCTGCTTAAATCAGCATTTGTGATGAAATATTTTAATCATCATCATTGTCAGGGAGTGGTGGTTTGAGAGATGGTGAGGATGAACGCTGAGACCAGGTTGTGAAGAAAATGATGAATTTAATGATGAAAGGCTCAAGCAGTCCAAATACAGGCGACACAGCAGAGAGTTTAGCACATAGCTAATACCGGTAGCAACTGACATAAAAGACTGTACACTGAAACAAGCAAGCTCAGGACTTCACAATTCAACTGCGGAAAACTGACTGACAAGCGACAAAGCATACAACCTTCAACAGGTGGGACTAAATACACTGGGGGGTAATCACAGGAACGAGACACAGCTGGGATCAATCAACGGGGAAGATGCAGAAACAACAGAGACTCACAGGACAGAAACTGAACACAGAAAAACCTTAAAATAAATACACAGAAACACGGATCATGACAGTACCCCTCCCTGCCCTCACGGGCGACTATCAGACGGCCAAAAAAAGAAACAGTCCAGATCAGGCAGCACGGCAGACAGATTAGCACACTGCTAAATACCGGTAGCAACTGAAAACCTGAAGACTGAAAACGAGAGCTAGACCAACACAGGACTTAACAGTTCAACTGTGAATGTAAGCAAACAAATGATGAATGACGTAAACATGACAAGGATCCGACAACAGACAAAGACAACAGGTGGGACTAAAAACACAGGGAGGGTAATCAGGCAACTAGACACAGCTGGGACCAATCAACAGGGAGGACAGGACAGAGACTCACAGGGAAACAGGACTAAACACAGAAAATCTCGAATAACTACACAGAGAAACACAGATCATAACAATCATCTTAGAACGACCTGCTGAGTTCGAGCTAAAAATGGGCGAAACTCTCCCCTGCCTCTGTCCTGAGCTTCAAGAGACACAGACTTCCACACCACGCTTTTCTGGATTCTTTCCTTTTATTAAAAGAATCCCCCCGCCTCGTAATTTACGCTCTTTCATCTGTTTTAATCGTGTAACATCCCTTTAACACTTCAAAATCTGCAGCTGAAGCGTAATGACGTGGAAAAACCCAAAAGCTGTGAGTAATGCTGAGCAACCAAGTCCATGAAGACTCGGCGGATATTTCAAAAACTAGTCACTGTGTACCGTGTGTTTCGTCTGCGTCTGGTGTGACGGCGGACTCCGCCGCCTCAGACCTGCCATTCCTCCCCGCAGAGCGGCTTTATTTCTGATATCCTTCTGGCCTCCCTGACAACTCACTTCTTTCATTTCAGTCTCTCACTGCTATCTGCCAGACAAGATAGCACAGAGCATATCTCACATACACACACACACACACACACACACACACACACACTCACAGGCAGGAGGACCTGCTGAGTGTCAGTAAGAAAACAGCTGCGGATGCAAAGCAAGACGGCAGTAAGAAAGAAGAGAGCAGCAGGTGTCCAAGAAGCTGCTACTGCTGCTAAAGAGAAGGGAAACCAAGAGAGAAGCAAAAAATATATGAGGAAATTAAGGGTTTTCCTTTTCTTCTTTCTTTTTTTTTCTAGTAATTCATAACATTAGCAAAATCTTCCACTTCCTGTGTTCGTGGCGGGAATTTACAACCATCCAGAAATCGTACTATCAATTAAACTGGCACTGAAGTCAAATCTGAGGTTTTTCTGTTTGTTGTTTTTAGATTATCATCAATGTTTCCACAGATTCTGCTAACAAATTTAGAAATTCTCCACATTTATTGAGCCACTATTTTACCAGGAATCTGTGTCGTTTCTTTTATAAAATGAAAGCAAAAATCACCTTGAGATGATAAGAGAGGAAAAAGCACGTCAGTGTGTGTTTTTTTTTTCTCCCTTTGTTCACACTGGGACAAGAACATTTCACACATTTTCAAAGCCAATAATCGGTCAAACAAGCTGAAAGTGAGTCATAAAAAATATATATATAATTTTTCTTCATAAGCTCTCAGCCTTATTAAACAAACTTTATACTGTGTTTTCTCTTGACTAGGATGATGCCCAACTTAATCTGGTTCTAGTTTCACGCCACAAACCCAGTTCGATGTCTGATTTGTTGAACTCATTAGTCAGGTTAGCTGCTCCACAGAGATGAAGAAGCCAAATATGCTTAAAGCAACATAAATAAAAGCTGATTACACTCAAGAAACGTGATCAGGAACCTCGGTGTTACCTTTTGGAAACTTGACCTATATAAAAATGTAGGGCAAGCGTCTGAATTTGGAGAAAGTTTAAAAAAAGAATCCTCTCAAAAACGTATTTCTCCCATTATTCTCTGTAAATAGAAATAATGTTGGTCATATTAACTAGCCTAAAACTGTAAAATAGAAGTTTTGGTTAATGTAAGAAAAAGCAGTTGTTTATATGTAAATATGTTGCTTTAACTGTATTTTTGTAAAAATGACATTTCGGACTGATCATATCAAAGCAGTCTGTTTAAAGTAGCAGGTATCTTGACAGTGTCTTGGTTCAACGCTCCCTAAACATCTTTTATTCGTAGTGTTGCCATTCTCGCAGACAGAAACGTGCTGTTTTACGGCCCCGCGGTTTTAAACCAAGATCCGAGGAAACGGCGTTTGTAGCTGTCGTAAATACCATCTCGGCTATATCTGAACACCACAAATCATCCTCCGCGGAGCCACTGAAAACACACGCCGCATTACCCATTCCTCAAAGTGCTGTGAGTTACTCTCTCCCGAACTCAGCACCATTCCACAAATTGGTTGTTTCAGTGAAGAGCATCTGTTGCATCATAAAAGATAATTCCCCCCACGTTTCAGTCAGGTTTCAGCCGACACACAGATGGCACGCATCAGCCAAACGTTTCTGGATGTTTTTTTTTTCCTCCTGAGTCTGAGACATGACTTCATGCAGCCTCTGTGGGTTTTGTTTTTTTCTGTTTACAGCAGATGCACCCTTCAAGTCGCCCCGTTTCGGTAGTCTCTATGACTAAAATAAACGTGCGACGCGGTTCGACGTGGGTCCGCAACAATAACATTTAACATCTGGTTATATACAGAGGGAGGTCCGGTTTGTCCCGACGCGGCGTTGTTTTTGCAGCTGTGCAAGGCATCTCAGAGCAGCGAGGCGGACGCGTGTGTTTTCCGTTTCCATCTCCATGTTTGTTCTAAACTTCTCCGTCCCCCTCATATTCCTCTACCTCGCCCTCATTATCTCCTCCGTCGCTCACTTTTGTCTTTCTCTCTCTCCCCCTCCCTCCAGACCTTGACAGTAACCTGGATGACTTCACCTTCCAGGAGCAGCTGCTGACCCCTCGGCTGGCCACCACCGGGATGGGAGGGGCCCCGTCACCTGCGGCTCCGCTGCCGAGGAGCAGCCTGGTCCCCGTGCTGCCAGCGACTCTCGCTTTCCTCCCGCTTTGGCGCCACTGACGGAGCCGGCCTTCTGCTCTCTGTTTTAGCTATAAATTCCTTACAAACACGTAAAAGGTGACGAATCTTTTGGACCTCTAGAACACCGGCGGCCCCATCAAAGGAAGTATTAACAACCAAAACCCCCCTTTTTTTTTTTTTTTTTCCCCTCCTACTCTAACAATAGTTTTTCTTCATTCAAATTTGGTCGGCGTTCCAAAATCAAGCACACTCCATATCCTCTCTTGTAAATAAGAAAACTTCCAGCTGGCAAACTTTACTTTTTTGTACGCTCTGGCTTCACATGCTCATATACTGACTTTGTCTCTATAGCAACAAGGCAGGAGAGAAGCCGATTATTTATTAAACTGTGGACATGTAAATAAGTGTAACCACTCTGTCTGTACCAGCCCAGCTGGAAGAACCAAGCGTCAGCCGCTGCCATATTCCCTCATGACTGAGTGAAACTCTCGCCAGCACTGGAACTGAAAGCTCACAGGGAATCACTTCTCTTAAAGGGAAAGTCCAGAAATGTTTTCAAACGAGGTTCTGCTGAATGCTTATGTGCAGTAATCGTCTTACCTGCTGTAGGTGACGATCTTCGTTTAGCGTGATTTCAAATTGGTTGATCCAGGCAGAAACTGACAGGTGGTTCACATCAAGATCACGAATGTTTTTAAAGGGCCAGACAACTTTGCCAGAATGTATTGATAAAATCCAATAACAAACTCTTAAGATATTAATAAGCAGCTGCCTCTGCTTTAGATAAGTACTTCTTAATGGGGCAGTGTTATTTAAAACTGACTTTTTTTAGCTTTACATCACGTTATAATGTTAGTCCCTAATCTAAAACGTACCTGGAGTGTTGCCTTGATTCTTTCAAGCAATGAGAAATCATTTAATCTCCATGGCAACCATTCAGCTGTATGAAACAGATGAAGGGACAGGAAGGAGCATCTCCTCCTCTTTTCTAAGTGAAGTTTTCAAGACGAGTTTCTGCCTCACAGAGCTCCCCTCCCTGACAGTAACGTCGTTACTTGATTGTGCTATAAAAGGCACTATACCTGGAAAAAACATCACACTGTTCCTTTAAACCTAAATACTACTGAAACGTTTTCACATCGATCCCTCCCTCCTGGACTTTGCAGTCGTGTTTGTGGTTTATTTGCAGTTTAAATAACTGCATTTGTGAAGCTACTTTAGAGATATTTACAATGAATTGTGCAATATTTGTCTTGATGCATGACAACAAATGTGACTTTTTCTTCCTCCCTATTTTGATCACATACCACAACTTGACATGAAGTAAGGCTGGAGCAGCGTAGCTGTAAAAAGTAAGAAACACTGCCGCCACGTTGGCATAACTTATACCTGATGTGTTTGACCATAAAATATTTGAAATAAACTCACAATTATGCATTATTGCTGCTGCGTTAATTTCTGCGATCTCTGGATAGTGACAAACTGGAGGGGCAGATGGATGTAATTTGGGAATTTGCAGATTAAAAACTGATTTGATTTGATTGATACAAGAATATTTAAGCCCACAACTATAATCCTAAAGGCTTTGTTCATATTCATGTGTCTGTCTAGTCTAAAGGGTCACGTTAAAAGTTATAGTGGGCCGGATTCGACCAACATGGACTTCTACAAGTTCTGTCTAAAGAACTTTGTGACTTTTCCAGGCAAGATGAAGGCAGGTTCATAGATAAACTAAACTTTAAAACACTTTTAGAGCTGGGATGCAGCTGGGATGTATGATTCTTAACCTGCTTTCATAATTGGATTGGACTGACTGTATTGTTCTGTAAATAAACTGGATCTGTTAGGTCTTTTTAAAGTGCCTTGAGGTGGCATTTGTTATGAATCGGAGTTATAGTAGTAAACTAAGAAGAAATAAATGAACCACAGCAGGAATAACAGGCAGACATGGAGATGAAAAGTTGAATCCAACAAGGAGAAGACTAAAACGGGAAGCAGAGAAACCAAGAAGAGTGACCATTGGGGGGAAGAGCAGGGTTGCATCTGTTAGAGACTAAAGGAGCTGAGGGAAAATGACTAATTGGTGTGGAATGAATCCACTGGGGAAACGGTGAGATCAGGGAAACCAAATAAGCCTCGGAAACATTAAGCATGACCAAAAAATTAAGGTGATCAAAAATACTGAAATGTAAGAATGAGAAGCAACAGAAAATAACCCAGAAATTCAAACCAGAATGACTCACTAAACTCCAACCACATTGTAGCTGGATAGTTAATCTTAAATGGACAGTATTATGACTTTTCCAGGCACATGGTGTCTTTTTATAACACAATCAAGCAAGTATAGGACCTTTAGTTGTTATAAAAAACGCTCTAAAAATCAAATACGACTTAAAAGAAATTTGACTTTGTAATTTTGCACTTTGAAATTGGGCCTCTGTTTCTTTAAGAAGCTCCTGCTCTTTCTGAAACTCCGTCTACAGGAAGTCATGACAACATCGCTCCTCTATTAACCCTTTAGCTATGTTTTTACCAAAGTTTCACTGAGAAGTAGCTCCTATGAAGAGCTCAGCTGATACACAGTTCTACCAGGTGTTTGCTAATTGCTGCTGGCTAGTCTGAAGGAGCTGAGTAGGAGAGTTGATGGTTAAGGTTGCTCTGTGAGGTGAAAGCTCGGAAACTGCAGCTGTGAGGAGGAGCTTCGTCCTTGATGGTGGAGCTAGGTCCACCCGGGCATTTTGCACAACTGAATGGTTGCCATGGAGATTAAAGGATTTCTCAAACAATCAAGGCAACACTCCGGGTTTGTTTTTGACATGATATAAAAGCTCAAAAAAAGTTGATCTTGCATGATACTGCCCCTTTAATAGAAAATGTTTCTGAATGTATTTTGAATCTTACGTTTCACACAGTAAGATCTTTGGTGCGGCGCCACTTCCTGTTTCCATTTCCTGTGGAAATAATCTTTGACTTTGGTGTTAAAAAATGTCCAAAGTAAACATGACAAATGTTTTAATGGTTCATAATATAGAATTTGCATAAACCACTCTAGAGTTCTTGATACAGACATTTTTAATCTTGGCTCCTCTCTGAGTCTAAGAGGCTAGAGCCTCTTAGATTAGCTAATCCGGATTCAGGACAAGTGAAGATGCCGAAGAAGGTAAAACATTCACTACTCATTATTTCACAGCAGAACCTCATCTGAAAAATTCTGCACTGTCCCTTTAAAGATGCACTGTTCTTTCAGAAGCTGTGTTTTAAATGTCTCTTTTTAACTATTGATTGTTCCTGTTTGGGTGTTTATAAAATGAACTAAATGAATTCTGGCTGATTTTTTTTTTTCTTACTCTTACGAGCAGAGTCTGCTTCGTTTTGTAAAGCTGGTAGCTTTAAGTGTGTGACTCAGCCTGACAGTTGTACAGATGTGTGTGTGTGTGTGTGTGTGTGTGTGTGTGTGTGTGTTCCTGTGTTGGTGCCATGTTTATAAAAAAAATGTGTTAATTTGCCATCTCTTAGTTCGTGAACCGATCCGCTGTTTGGAATGTGACGCTTCGCTACAACTTTCTCGCTTACTCATTCGCCCTGTGGATAAAGCAAGTTTTGAAATGACATATACAGAAACGGTGCAACTCAGTAGGTAGTGTGCTTGTGTGCATTCAGCTAGCTGGTTTTCAAACTTCTGACGGTTGCGTTTAATCACTGGGTCTCTTCGGGTTTTCTAGGCTACAAATCGGAAGTTCCATTTCATGTTATTGTTTGTTTAATTTAACTGAGATTTTAAAAGGAAGTGTGGTAAAAGAAAAAAAAAGGAAACCAAGACCAGCTCCTGTGTTGTTTGTATTGGAGAAAGTAGGATGGATATGCAGAGAGACGCTAATTAAAAGCTGGACTCGGCAGACTGTTCAGAGCTGCAGGTTTAACTTGTCATATCAAGAGGAAGTGATTATAAACCGTAGTGCGGCTTCCTTCCACGCAGGTTTCCCGCCTGCAAGCGAAGCAGCAGCAGTCCTGTTTTCTAACTCACTGTTCAAAGTACAAAGCAAGAATAAACCGAGATCATTTCACTGTTTGGTTCTTTTTTTTTAGTAGTTTTTAAAGTTCTGTTTGTTCAAAAGAAAAACTAAATTAAATGTTGCGATCTGCAGTAAAACATATAGTTTACAAGGAAAAAAAGGAAACTTTTTATTTTTTAATAAATTTGCATCATTCATACACGGGAAAACTCACAATCATAGCAAACATCGTTTCAATGCACTTTCCAAGACAAACTGATCCACTTTACACGCAGAAGTCCAACTCAATCAAACATATTTAAATTCAATTATGTCCTGGTTTTAAACACCTTGGTTTATTTCAGGGATAAAAAATGTTTTGCTTACATCTGGCGTCTCCAGACTTTGTCACTTAGGCCAAAACTGTCAACTAAAATGTGCTGATGGGACAAAAAAGTAAAATTTTTAATAACTGAAATTGTCAAAAATGTTAAATTTTTTAACGTATTTTAATTAAATTAAAGGTTTTTGATATTGTTTCTTTTTTTTTATGGGAACCAGATCATAGATCTAAAACTTGCTAAATGACTTCCAGTTTGCTTGTAATTTTGAAGAAAATTGACAAAAAAATTTCATCTGTTCTCATCATCAGAGCAGGATCTACGTCCGTCTTTATTTCAAAACATTTGCTGTAGTTAGTAAAGTTTTTATGCAGCGTTTAAAAGCAGGTTTGGGTTCACCAAAGTGAACTTTAGCGTTCATGTCAGTGAGTGGATGTGTGCTCCTGGTTGCCATGACAACAGGAGAAACTCAGAAAGCTTGGAAAAGGTGATCACTTTGTGTTGCATCAAACATTTTTTTTGTGAGTGGATTTGAATTTATAGGTTGTGGTTTTGTCCTAATTTGTTTAATTTATGTTTGGTAAAAATCAGCCCATCAGCCGCAGAACGGAGAGAAAATAAAACCACAGAATCACCAATCCAGAAGTTCTTTCTATATTAAATAATTATTATTATTTATAGCAGTAGAATCTCCTTCAGCGGTTTCACAGAGGAGAGAAAACGCCGCTCTTCTGATGCACTTTGACCCGGTTTTTAGGCTTCCTGTGAATTCTGCACTTACATTAATAATACGTGATTTAAATGTTTGAAAATATGAAATTCAGAAAATATGACTCCATAATATCAAACGTGTGGCAATCCATCCATCGTTTATTTTCTACAACTCTTCCAGTAGCCGGAGTGAAATGTGGAACCGGACATTTCAACAATCCATCACAGAGACCTGCAGTCCACTTTAAGTAAGTATTATGTGTCTCACTAAAGTAATCTGCAATAACAGTAATCTAAGTGTTAATATGTAAACGTAAGCAGGAAGCCATGTGAAAAAAACGAGTTAGTTTGGAAGTAGATTTAAATTAAATGGGGGGGAAAAAGGGCTTATGACAAACATTTTCTTGAAAACAAAATACATTAATAACAGATTTATTTATGTGGCTGGATAGAAATAACCAGCATTTTGAATTTAGGCAAACAAAAGCATGAGGCCCCAAAACAAAATTGATACTCACTTGTATAGAATATATCTAACATTATTTGTAGAAAAGTCTTGTTTTTTTGTTGGTTATTTCTTTATTAAGTTCTTTTTTATTTCTCACTTGTTGATTGCAGATGAAAGGATTATTTTCTTGTCATTTTTTTTGTATTACCACTTCTGTTTTTCCATAAATCAGTATTAAGAATGTAAAAGCCATGTTTAGCCATGTATGTAACTTTTATAAAAATGTTTTTTACATATTATGTTGTGGTAGTATAGTGTAAAACAGATAATCTGTGAAAAAAAATCAACCTCCTCTGCCTCCTCCCATACGCCACTCAAGCCAGAAACAACCAATCAGAACCAGGAGGAGGGTCTTGGTCTCAGCATAGCCCGTCATGAATGCTAACGTTAATTAGCATTGCCACCAATGATGGCGGATAAACAGTTTTCCTAAAACGGTAAGTTGTTTCTCCGCATTTAGCAGTGTGTACAGTAGGTTGATCAACAGCGCTAAGACCCTCCTCCTGGCTCTGATTGGTTGTTTTTGTCCAGGTGCATTTCTTCAGACAGCAGAAGTAGCTCTGGGAGCAGGTGGAGGAGAAAGACAGTTTTCACAAGTTATCTGTCACACCATGACAGTTTTAACAAATACAGAGGAAGAAAACTTAGATTTTTGTAAAAGTCGTACTTTTACAAATATTGAACAAGCTAAATACATTTTAGCTTAAACAAGGTAAAAGAATTTTGCTTTTAACTTGTTTAATGTTAGCCAATGGGCTCGCTCACTCTCTCTCTCTCCTGTAGTGGTCCACGGAGCAGTATGTGTGGGTTTTAGATTTTCGAGGAAACACCTCTGTACATTCACATTTTAAAGCCTGTTAGACTCCAACCCTTCATTACATTAGGGTGGGGTCAGGTGCGGTGTGATGTGTCATTCCACAGTCCCTCTCTGCAGCACAGGCGCCTGCTTCTGCCAGAGTCAGAAAAGAAAAAAAGAAAACATGAATAATACATATATATCTAGGCTGCCTGGTACTCTTGAGAGCTTGTTGACTTTTCTCCAGAACATGTGAGGTCATGTTGATGTGTTCCCGCAGCAGCAGCGCGGCTATTAATGTCAGAGACCCACTCAGCGTCATCTCGCACGTCCTAAGTGTTTCGGTGTCAGTTGCTCGGTACCGCAGACGTGATGCTTCCTCGTGGACATTAAGCGGCTTTCAACAAGCAGGAGGTGATTCATTGTTCAGACAACAGCTGACGGTTTGTACACCAGTGGACAGAGAAGTCATCTTTTTTTAATGAAAACTATCTCCTTTTTTTCTACGTTTTGAGTTATTGTGAAATAAGGTCGTAATGTTAGATTATTAACGCTGCTTCTGCATAGCCAATTAATACCTTTTTGTTCTTTTTGCGCCACTTGACACCACGGAGTGTGTAAAGGTTTAGCGCATTACTTTACAAAGAGGGTTCTTTTAAATTGTTCCCATTTTGTCATGTTACAGCTACAGACTTCTGTATTTCATGTTGATTTTCAACAAAAGCAATACATGGCTTTCAAAATATTTTACGAACATAAATCTGAAAAGTATGGCATGTTTTTTTTTTTTTATCCAAACCACATGAATAAACACTTCGTAGAAGTGCAGAT